AAGACCTTGTAACCTATGCTTAGAAGGCTGAGCCCGCGGTAGTTGGCGCGAATGGTGGGGTCGCCTTTCTTGTGGAGTGGGCATAGCACACTTAAATTCCACTCGTCGGGCATGCGTTCATCTGACCATATTCTGCATAAGAGTTGATGCATGCACCTTATCAACTCCTCGCCGCCGTACTTAAATAGCTCAGCTGGAAGGCTGTCAGCTCCAGCAGCTTTGTTGGTTTTCAGCCGCGTTATTGCTATTCGTACCTCGTCATAGTCAGGCGGTGGAACATCGTCTCCGTCATCATGGACGGGGGCTCGGGTTTTTCTTCTCCACAACATTCCGCTACCACTCAGTAGGGTGGAAAAGTATTCCTTCCATAATTGAGGTACGTAACTAGGTCGCCATTGTTGTGCTTACAGGACTACGTCCTAGTCTTGAAACTTTCCGTAAGGCGGCGAACTCTCTGGTAAAATTTTGGGCTTTCTTCCTGTCGGCAGCATTTCAAGCTCTTCGCACTCACGTATTTCGGCCTCTCTCTTCTTATTGCGGCAAATACTTCTCGATTTCCTCTTCAGCTCCCTTTTACGGTCCCACATGGTTCACGTTGCGTCCGATCGCAGAGTGGCCCTGTAGGCGACATCTTTTTTTCTCTGCAGCTTCTTGACACTCCTCCTCGTACCAGTTGTTCTTTCGGGCTCACTGAAATCCGACTACTTCTTCGGCAGCGGTACTTAATGAATAAAATGTGGTTCCACAGCTCGCATATGTCGGATTGTTGAAGAGTGCTCTCAGAGAGCAGATGTGAGAGTCGAGTGGCGAATAAATTGGCCGTCTGTTGCGATTGCAGCTTTTCGACGTTAAGCTTTCCTTGCATATTTGGGCGCACATATTTCGCTGCACGGGTGCGTATCTTGGCTGCAACAAGATAGTGGTTCGAGTCAATGTTTGGGCCTCGGAGCACGGTTGCCACTAAAAATTAAAAATTTAGTGTACCACAATATCCAAGTAAAAAGGCCCAAAATAAAATAAAATATATCATTTTTTGCCGTCCATCTTAAATACATATACATATTAGTGTTGCCAGATTTTTTCCCAGCCATACGTGACAAACGCATAATTTGTCCCAAAAATTCCGGATTTACAAAAATTTAACGGGACAAATGAGAAATAAAGGATTTCCTTTAAAAGCCCATATGTTAACAAAGGTAATCCATTTCAACGGAGTAATGTTCAGATATTTGTTTGCATTTGTGCATATATAAGATGGGTTAAATGTTAGTGTACATCTTGTCCTAATATAATATTTACAATTATTTTCACGAACAAGTTTTTTCTTTTATTACATAGGTTTACAAAAAAAAAGTGTCTGCACATTGAACGAAACCTCTATGGTATTCGGAGCCCTGAATACGAATCCGCGGTCTGTACGTCTCCACCACGTCAGGTTTGAGGTCATTTGAAGGTCAAATAGAGAAAAATTCGATGAAAAACCCGAAAATTCAATATAATTCTTCTGAAGTTGACCTTGGCATGACCTCTAGATAACTTTGAAGATAAAGTTTTTTCACACCTCGGGTTCGCATTAAGCTCGTCGAATACCATAGGGATATAGAGGTTAGGCTTAATAGGCAGAACATTTTTTTTTGTAAGCCTGGGTTGTTTATGAAAATATTGTTTATTCTATAATATAACATGACATGAGGCATTTCATGTCACCGCGGCCACCTCTGTGCGCGACGTCTAAGGATTTGGATGAAAGTTGAAGAGATTGAAGGTCTAGGTGACATGAAGATACGTGCAGCATATTTTTCCGATATGACGTAGGGTTGCCTATTTACACGGGACTTAAATTTCAAGAAAACGTCATACATACCTTCTTTAAAGTGCTGTATCTTGGAAACCTTTTAACGCAACTTAATGAAACATAATGTATTTCTTGCGTCTCATTACGGGCTTTAATTGTACATTTTTTACATTAATGTGCAACGTATAAAAAACAATAAATTAAGTAAACATTCTTCCTTGATTTTTTTGTTTGATTATAGCATTTTTAAAAAATTTTATTTTTACATAAAAACATTGTGTATAATGTCAACTTTAAGTACCCAAATGGGCGTAATGGGCTACTTATGCGTTTGGACTCCAGATCGTCTAACGCTAGAGCAATATGATAAATATATATTGAAATTTTATGAAATTGTATATTTTTGAAAGAGGAAAGGTGTGTAAAAGACAAAAACAATATGAATAAATCATATTAACTTTACTAAAGGTCTGAAATCATGAAAATCCCTTCAAGGAAATGGCACAATTGAACTTTGTTCCAAGTTCACATGGGAAATCTGCTTACGACGTGATTGGAGGAAATTTTAAGAGACTACCAGCTAGAGCAAGTCTTCGACTCCTGATGTTACTACGTGCCAATTATTTTAATTATATTTTAAGCTAGTTTAAAAGGTTAAATAACATCAAGTTAGGGATCTTCGTATCCTTATTTAACGAATCTTTAAATCAATAAATAATTTTTTTTCTTTTTAGTTCTTATTGTAATAAAAGCGTGTTGTTGATTTTTTTCCAAACTATAGTTTTATTACTCATTAGGTTTATTTTTTTAAACACTTTTCCCTTCCTTGTTTTAATAAAAGGGCTAACCTTGAAGCTATCATTGGAGGTCTAATATTCTTTTGCATTGAGTGTTGTTTATGTTGATGTTGTTGATGTTTCGGTTTCATTTTATTAAAAGAAGAAAAAGGAGAGGTGTGTAATAAAATAAACCAAATGAGTAATAAAATTATAGTTTAAAAGAAACCAAATAACACGATTTTATTACAATAAGTACTAAAAAGAAAAAAATTATTTATTGATTTAAATATTCGTTAAATAAGGATATGAAGTTCCCTGACTTGATGTTATTTAACCTTTTAAACTAGCTTAAAGTAGGACGTAACTAGTCATAGTCGAAATAAAGTCCACTGAAAGGTTAGTTGTAGTTATTTTTTACAGGCATCTCATTGGAAACATACAGCACCCCATTGGTAGAGGGCTTCGGGTGTACGAATTTGTTGTAACATTAGGTGTTGAAGACTTGCTCTAGATGCTAGTCTTTTAGAATTTCCTCCAATCACGTCGTAAGCACATTTCGAATGTGAACTTGCAACAAAGTTCAATTGTGCCATTTCCTTCAAGGGATTTTCATGATTTGAGACCTTTAGTAAAGTTAGTATGATTTATTCATATTGTTTTTGTTTTTTACACACCTTTCCTCTTTCATCAAAATACAAATTCATAAAATTTCAATGCCTATTTATTATATTGCTCTAGCGTTAGACGATCTACAGTCCAAACGCATAAGTAGCCCATAACGCCCATTTGGGTACTTAAAGTTGACATTATGGACAATGTTTTTATGTAAAAATAAAAAATTTTTAAAATGCTATAATCAAAAAAAAATTCAAAAAGAAAAATGTTTACTTAATTTATTGTTTTTTTATACGTTGCACATTAATGTAAAAAATGTACAATTAAAGCCC